GATACCAGAAGGGCTGCAGCAGCTCAGCTCCTCTGTCCCTCAGATGAGGGAGTGTCAGCACTATTCACTTTTCCAGTTTCAAGGCAAGTGAACTGAGCCCTCTCACCAGAACTGTCCCAGCAGGACACCACGCCACGCGGGAAGGAACAGGCGTGGGGATGGGCCACTCACCAGAAACTGCTACTTCCTAGACCCAACAATGGAGAAAGAAAAAAGAAAAGATTAAGGAGGAAATCAGCAGAACTGCAGCAATTATTTAAAAACAAACTTCTTATATGTTTATTTTAGAAATAAGCCTGACAGGGGGAACAGGTCTGAAAGAGACATAGGTCATGGTATATTTATGTATTTAACATAACATAGAAAATGGATAGACTATTATACATATAACCTATGGACTAGCCCAGGAAATTCCATTCCTGGACACCACTGTATCCTAACAAGCATTTTAACCCTCTTACTTCAGAAGGGATTGAGCCTGGCACCTTCACTGGAAGGTGCTACCACATATGGCTCCAAGCTGCCCAGAAGAGGCTGAGAACTCAATGCCCACGTTTCAGGATGGAGCACATTTGGGACACAACAAGAACAGAGCTTACAGCTTAGTCTCCTCCAGAAGAAATCCAGCACAAAACATGCCCAAACTGCTCTGCAGCTCTCAACAAACAGAGCTCATCGGGGGGACAAGCTTCAAAAACCCCACTAGGACAGAACCCCACCGCTGGTGTTCCAGGACAGAACCCCAACGTGGGTTAGAGCCACAGAGCCATCTGACCCCAAAAGCATGTCGGACCAACAGCCCTTCCCCGCAGCTCTGCAGCCCCCAGCACCCAAAGTCAGCTACCAAGGGCAAGCAGGACTCCAAGAGGTGTGCTGGGGGGAGAAGACAAGGGGGTGGGAATGATCATTCTGCTGAAAAGCGGGGGATTTGCAGAGCCAAGCAGCCCCACTGCTCCCCAGGGAGCCAGGGCTCAGTGTGCCATCAGTGGCTCCAGCAGCTGTGGCTCCCACAGCTGGCACCGGGCACTGCCAGCCTGGGACTGCTTCTCCAGGGACGACAGCCCTGCTCCACTGGCTCTGCAGCAGAACACACCATTAATGAAGGTTTTATCTCTCCCTCTTCCTGTCAGCGCAGACCCAGACAGGCTGACTCTATCAACATTAAGAATGCTTATTTTTCCCCCATTCACTATCTCCAAGCCAAAACAACATCTGGAACTTCAGCTTGCTATACAAAGAGAGACAGATTAAAACTGGAAAAAGCTACACATCAGCTTCCCAAGCTTTATACGTTTCTGCTTTTATCCAAACTTCCCACATGTGCCTTCCAAAACAGCTCCGCTGGGAGAAAAACCAAGTCCTTCGTACGGACTCCCAAACACAATGTAAGGCCTCTTCCTTATAAATATACTTCAAAATAACCTCAAAAAGGATTATCAGAAAAATAACATGAGCAAAAACGATAGGAAAGTGAGAATTTACCATCGCTTCTTACACAAAAGAGAGGTGACATATCAGTGACCTAGAAAAGGAAATTAAACAAAGAATATTACTGGTGTGTGTTACTTGATAAAGTAATGGAAAAAAAACCTGGCGCCATTTCAGGCTACATAAAGGTCCCACTTTAACAGACAGCTGTCTCCAGTGTCATTTAAGTGTGCTTTTTGCTTAGATCATGGTCAATGAATCATGAAAATCAATACAGAAGGAAAACATAAAACCATGCTGCAGACAGGCTCAGCAGCGGAGCATGTACCAACTAGCACCAGCCTTGGCTGGAGAAAGACGTGCCAAATAAACACAGACTAGTTATTCCAACAACATTTATTTAACTCTTAGTAGTTAATTAACAGAAGTCATGACTACTGGTTATTTTCTAACCAGCCATCCCACTGCAGTTACGCGCTCCAGGCTCACCACCAAAGCTCTCCCTCCTCTCCCCCGCACACGGTGCCTGTGCCCTGGCGCTCCCGGCCTCACCCTCCGCTGGCCTGCAGCCTGGCACAGCCCCCAGCTCCCAGTACAGCTCCCAGCTCCCAGTACAGCTCCCAGCTCCCAGTACGGCCCCCAGCACAGCTGGAGATGGGCGATGGTGGCTGACAGGTTCCCCACCATGGCCCAGCTCCGCTGTCCAGAGCACCCACTGCCCGGGCCCCTGAGCTGCCCGGGCCCCTGAGCTGCCCGGGCCCCTGAGCTGCCCGGGCCTGCCTGGGTGCTGGGCCAGCCCTTCCCCAGGGCCACACTGTCGCCTGCTAAGCAATGACTGCTCTCCGAGCAGGAATTTCCATCCCACAGCCCCCCTGGACGAGTTATCCCACTGCCAGGCCCGGGCTGCAGGAAGCCACCATGCTGCTGCCAATCGCAGTATTATTTTCGGCTGACAATCACATAAAACCAATTTGAATGGCCAAAGCGGAATAAAGTGTATGTTTTCAAGAACAAACAAAACGTGTCTCATGGGTTTCTGCGTCTAGCAGCAGATTTTAACATAACACAGAGTGGAACCCAATTAAAATAGTTCCCGTTGAACAGAATCGGCCGTGTTAGAGTGGAAGGACAGAGAGCCAACCCCCACATTGTAGCAGTGCTTTGACAGTCTCATAGCAATGACCACCAGTTCAAACACACAGCGCATGCCAGCACCAGGGAAGCAACAGCAGCATAAGCTCAAATGGTAATTTGCTGCTGAACACACACAAAAACCCTCTGCGCAACACTCAGAAATTACTCATGTTTTAGCAGATTTTTGCTTTGCACCCAGCTGTTGCCTGTTCCCAAGGCATCTACTCACGAATTAGCCACTTCCTCGCTGAAAAGCAGGATTAACTCACAGCAATGATACTCGGCAGCAGCAAGCCTTGGCCCCCCAGCCCCTGTCCCTGCGGGTCCCCAGCCTGCCCCGCAGCAGCCAGGCACTCCAAAGGAAGCTGAGCACTGCCAGCAAACAAGCAGGTCAGAGCTGAATAAATGAATCCTTTATCAATGCTTTTAAAACTTTATTTTTCCATCAGCTGGCTGAAAAAAATCATCTCCAAAACTCCCAGAACTGACTGAATAATATGAACTCACTTGACAGCTTGAGCCAGTAAAAACAAGTCACCCCTACTGATGTGCGCAGCAGTCCCTGCCCCGTGTCTGGGAACAGTCACCACAGACACGGACAAGACTGCATTCCTTTGGACCAGAGCTCCAGGCTCAACTGTCTCACTGTGTGCACTTCCTGCTTGTCCTGCTTGCCATTTTTGGGACAGATCATCTAATGCTCCTCATGGCTTCCCAGAGCAAGGAAAATCACGACTTGGGCTAGCGGAGTTTGAAACTAAACCAGTGAACCACTACTGAGTGAACTTGATTATTGGCCAGGTTTGTTTGCCATGAAGAGCCTTTCACGCAATCAAACAAAATCTGCCATGCCTAGGATTTCCCTGAATTCGAAGAGCACTGTAGCATTCCCTCAATACTCAGCTCATGACCATGCAGGAAACTGAAATGTAGCTACCTATGCAAGTTACACGGCACAAACCACTTAGCCAAGAAAAGCGCTTTGATTCCTCCTCTTTCTTTGTTCCCTTCCTAACACCATCATCATTTCCACTCGCTCCAAGTCCCTCAAAGCAATTATTTTCACTCCATTTTCTGGAATCTCCCCTATCCTTCACCTTCACATGTACCCTCCAGTCCAGGCACTCTCCTTCTGCCACCTTCTTTCCAGCTGTCTTCTACACCAGAAGAATGTCTAAGCAGCAGATGATTTTCAAAAATTGTCACCTTTCTTTTTTTGGTCATTTTTTAAACAACAGCTTGTTTGTTCCCTTGTTCCTGCTGGGTTCTGAGGGGCACAGCCAGGGTGCCAGTGATCTTCAGCAGTGGCACTGAACATCCCACAACACGGTATCTGGGGCTTGGTGAAGACAGGGCTGCTGGACACCCGTTAACACGGGCCCACAGATACAAACACACTGCTGCAAGAAACAACTCCAGCAACAGAGCTTTAGCCGAGAACTCTGGTAAGAGATGACAGAGGAACACCTGTTTCTGGACCTGCAGCTGTACATCACCTCTCAGCTCTCCTCCAGCCGCAATAAACCCCTCATCTCATCTCCCTTCTGCACTCAGCAGCCTGTTCTCCTGGAGTCCTGCCGCTGTCCCACCTCCACACAAGGACAGCCAGAGGCAGGACAGTCTCCTGTTAGCACCACAGGCAAGCTGGAGCATAAGAGAGGTCTTGCCTGCAACTGGTGGGAACACAAATTCCGAACAAAGGCTCTGCTCCGTGGTCTGTACTGGACTGTAACACGCAGGCTCTGCTCACCTGTCACCAGGTGGGGAGGAGAGGGCAGGAGATGTTTGAGCAGCTCTGCTGTCACCCCTGCAAAAGGCTGAGCTGTCACTGCACCACGACACAGGCACCAGCAGCACCAGGGCAGACAAAGAGAGCCACGGAACAAACCCAAAAGCACTGAGTTCCCACAAGCAGGGCTGCAAAGAAATCAAAAAGCTTCAAAATAATTCTGTGGTAAACTTCCCAGGGGCAGAGTTGCCAAACTAGCAATTCTGGGGAGGGCTGGACAAGCCAGAGCTCTCTGCAGGTCTGCACGGCTCCCCAGGAAAAAGCAATCCCTGGCCACCCGAAAATCCAGCCAGGCTGCACGAGCTGCTCCCGGCAAGGAACAGCACACGAAATGATTTCAGCACTACCTGGAGTATTTCATCCTTCCTACACTGCTCCAGTTCCCTGCACACAGCTCCAGGGGCTGTGTTATGCTGCTCTGCCATTACAGAACTTTTCTTATTGAGGGTAAAGGTTTCTTTGGACCCTCCACACTGCTTTATGTCTTCACTCCATCTTCACCCCCCTTCTCCTGTCTCCTCCCTCAAATCCAAAGCCTTAACCTTGGGAAGGCACAAAATGACAGCGACATAATTTCAAAGCACTTCACAGCCCCAACCCTTCCCAGCTAGGGCTGGATAAATCCCCAGGATGAACACCCAACACTTGCCTTTTGCTGCAGCCACTTCACTTGAGCAGGGAACTCTGCACTCGGGATGGAAGATTCATTGGACTAATACCAGGAAAAAAATAGCCACAGAAATGCAAAATAAACCCTACTGAGTAATTGTGCGAGCATAATGATTCAGAGTCAAGCTAAGCAAAATTCAAGGTTTAAAACAAACAAACCAAAAAATCCCCCCACAAAGCCCCCAACCCACACGTTTGGAATTTTAACTAGTTTTCTGAAATTTTCAAAACAGCATTTTACATCTCCACAGGTGGAGTATTCATTTCAGGTTTTGCTCTGTATTTAAATGCTCCCAAGTTGATCAAGGTGATTTAAATTAGAAATTTGAGTACAATTTAAATAACTCATTTTATGCATGATTTTGTACTTATTTTTTGTTCTTTTTAAAGAAAGCTTTAATTACTGTTCAACACAAATGAACATATTAAGACTAACCTAGTATAGGCTTCAAAGACCACTTCCCTCTCCATCCCTCCACTCCAGCACCCAGGAACCCAGGTTTCCAGTTTTTGCAGAAAGCATTACTTTTATTATTATTATTTTTTTAATTATTATTTATTTATTTTTACAAATACAATATTTCAGAGTTTATTTTTAATTGGAAAACAGGCTCACAATGGCCTGATTGCGCTAATTACACAAGAAGAATCATCAGAGCCTTTTGCCAGCAAAGCCCAAGGACACAGGACCTGTGGCTACTGAAGTGACCTGGCCAGGGCCAGCCAGGTGAGCCTGTCTGGGTACCCTGGCTGGGAGGACACAAGACCACCCTGTTTCTCAGCTGATGGATCTGTTGCAGTCAGGCTTTGCTGCTCTCAGGAGCCCCAGCAGACGGCCCCCACCATCCCACACCTCAAGTTTCAGGAAGATCTGAAACACTCCTTACAATCTCTGACGTGTCTCGGCCGGGAGGGAGTGTTCAATCACCTTTAAACTCTTCTCATTAAGCAGCTGGGGCGAGCGTTTAACAAACTTTATTTAGAATTTACGGAGTGGGTTACAACAAGCAAACAAAAACACAAATTAAATTAAACCCAAAACAGTTCAGCCATTTAGGGTAATTTTAACTTTCATACTCCAGACGCACAACCGCAGAGGTGCCGCCTATTTCTGCAGGACCTCGGCGCAGTTCCAGGGAGGGTCAGCTCAGCGCTGCAAATCTCATTATTTTTTCAAATCCTTCCACAGAGGCCTAAGTTTTAGCTTGCTAGTTTTTAACTCAATTCAGAGGAAAATCAAATGCTATTTTTTTTTGCATGTTTCATGTAGAAAATATTTGCTAAGTTCATTTATTTCATTTAAACATTTTAAATTACTTTAAGAGACAGCTTTTTCTGAAGGTATTTTTGTTTGCTTGTTTTGTAAGGAAGTGGCCTTTCAAGATCGGAGAATCAACAGAACCTCCCTTTAACATCAGATACTCAAGTATTCCCTCGGTGTCTTGGGAAACTGATCAAATTCTGCATCAGAAAACCCACCTTCATGCTAAGCTGTAACTCACAGTGGGCCATAAAAGCCTATTTCCTTTGGCCTGGGTTTGCTATTTGACACAGGAGCTACTGTGGCCTCTTGACCCATAATTATCACCCAAAAAGAAGATAACTTATTAAGCACCTTTTTCCTTCAGGTGTTAGGACCAGAAGTGCTTGCAGAGGGGCCTGTGACCTTAAGAACAATTTGGGTAAAACCTGTAAGCTGCACCATGCTGACAGCTAACACACTTACAGACACCTTTCATACAACTGTGATATGCCAGTGTTAAATCAGATATTTCTGGCTTGCCTAACATTCATTTTTTAATTAATACGTCATTACAGACTCAATTTCAGAAGAATCCCTCATTCCCATACAACCAAACACACCTGCGGAACCGAAACAAGATCAATCCCGTCAAAAAAAGCCTTAAGATTTTTGGAAGAACACGTCAGAACTCACTCTCACTTTCTGCTGCCCAAGCCCTACTCCCCTCGCTGTCCCTACTTGGGCTGCACCGGCAGGGACCCTCTGGGTCCCTGCCGGTGCAGCCCAAGAAGGGACAGCGAGATCTCCGGCCCCTGCAGCGCTGCCCTCGCACCTCCCACCACTTTTGGTTCGCAGGTGCCTGAATTCCTACCAGAAGGCAGCCATAGGCTAGGAGTGATGCTCCTTCTCCCCCCTAGAAGAACAAGGGCTTGCTTCTCTCTCCAGATTTCCTTCACAGCCAGAAAAAAAACCATGAATTTCCCTCTTCAAGGAGGGCACCTGTCGATATTTTCACCCAGACCTGAAAAGAACCATCAGGTACCAGGAGGCAAACATGGCAGTCCGTCCAAAGCTTGAGGGAAGCTGTGTCCTTGAGGAAACAGCACAGGTGCTCACAGGAAACTCCCTCAGGACACACAAGGACGGAGCTGCAGAGCAGGAATAGTGACCAGGGGGACTCTGTGCAGAGGAGCAGCAGCCTCTGAACTGCACCTGCTTCACCTGAGAACAGCCTCAAAACACAAGGCAGCTCTCAAGATCCCTTCCTTTTGCCTCCATCTGCCGCTGTGTTGCTGTGCTGTGGCTCTACGAACCCAGCCTTGCGGAACAACTCCCAGTTAGTTCACCTTTTCCATTTGCTTTAGTCCACTCCCCAGAGTTCCATATCCAGTAGATATTTATTTTAAAGCTAAGCCAAAACCATTCAAATGCTAACACTTCAGGGCCTTCAGTACTCCTGGTTGCATGAAGGAGGGCCTCTCTTAGAATAAAGAGCATCCACTTTGGGAACTAAACCAACATGATTATAACTGGGCTGCATGTCAAAGTTTTACAAATCCCCAGACTGGAAATACAGTAGGTTTTACTCCTTGCAGACCCTTTGTCACAGAAGGCATTAAACTGCACCGCAGCCTCGGGAGCAGCAATTCCTCACCAGAGACTCCAGGAACTGCGTAAGAAAACCAAGCTTCAAAAGCCAGGCTGGTGTTCTGGCTCCTCTCTGCACAGCATTTTGGCCTTCCTGATGGAGAAAAAGCTCCCTCAGAATCCTGGATGCTTTTTCACATGAGAGTCCAATACATGTTTTCTTTGAATGTCTAAACAACATCCAGGAACAAATTCCAAACAAAAAGATGAAGTCAAAGTCTTTTCCAGTCATTAAAATACGCCACTTTTGTGCCAGGCATGGAAATACCATATTTCTTTCAAACAGCCTTTTGATGATACGTAGGTTTTTATTTCCATCATTTAGGAACAGTCATATTGATTCACTCATTCTTCAAAATATGACATGTGTCGTAAGGAAGGTGCATGGAGGGAAGGATCTAAATAGGCTCAGATTTTAGAACAGGTTTTGCAGACCATGCCCAGGTTTGCTTCAGAGGTATGACATTAGTCTTACAAATGTGTAAAACACATACAACCAAGATAGAAAAAACACCCTATTGTTCAGGCAAGCTGAGACATGTCACTCAGATTATTCTCTACTGGAGGCTGATGCAAACATGCCAGGTCCACAAACACACTGAAGTGTCTACGTGGCATTTCTGGCACATTCGTAAAGGCCTAATTGACAAAGAACTAATGTGAGGTTAAGGGAGGGCAAAAGCCAAGCCAAAGAGTCGTCCAAGAATTTAAGAAGTGCACGGGCCTGACAGCAAAAGCCAAGGGAAGGCAGGATCCCTGAGAAGAGCCACGGAGGAAAGGCCAAGGGAGCCGCTGGCCACGTCCCCGACGTGGGGACCCAGGGCAGGGGTGACACAGCCCACGCGCTGCACGGCCTGCAGCCTGCTCCAGGAGCTCTGTCCTCCACCCCAGCCACTGGAAATAACCTGAGCGTTTCTTTCTGGACACAGACGGGTTCAAATTATGCAAAGGAGCTGGAAGACAGCCAACGCTCGAATGATTTCACCTTCATCCTAACCACAAAGACGCACCTCTGCTCTCCCAGACGGGCGTCTGGGAGCTGGGCTGGGCACAAAGCGCTGCCCAGCTGAGCAACACGACATCAAAGACAGCCCCGGTGCTACCCCTGCAGGGAGGACAGCTCCCCGACCCAGAGCAGCAGAGATGGTCCCAGACCACATTTACACGTAGTCACCCCGAGACGGAAAATGGGTGGAGGAAAAAGATGCTTGCGTGGCATTTTTCATCGTCATTTCGTTTAGACTCAGGATCCACACAGGTTTTGCAACTCAATCCAAAAATAAAGGTCAAGTGGAATAAAAATTACTTAGATCAATGCTCAATATGTGGGAATAAATGTCTGGAAAATAATTTCCTGAGTTTTCAAAATATTTGCTTTATTTTTCTATAGTAATCAAAATCACCAAGATCCTAACACACATCCCTCCTCTGTTTTGTTGTGGGTTTTTTTAAATTCACAAGCGTCAGCACTTTTTCATGATTTAAGAGTACATCTAAAATACTTATCATTTGAGTCAGTATTTAAAAATCAAATTGAAAATAGTCTTTTTTTTTTAAATGCACGACTTGTTGTAACTCCACTCCAAGGAGATATGAACTAGCTAATTTTATACTCAGACTAACGCACTACAAGCTGCACAAGTTTTCATTCTGACAATAGAAAATAAGGAGGAGCACACAGTATAATACTTCAAGATTGACTGCCACATGAAATCCATTGCCAAATTCTCCTCCAGCCTGGGATTTGCCCAGCCCATGCCATCAAAGGTGATGTTTTAGCAGGCTGCTACCCCGCAACTGCAACTGCAGTTGCAGCAGGCAGCTACTCTCCAGCAGCAATAAAGGATTTAATGGATTAAAAAAATAATAAAAAAAAAAAAAGTCACTCCTTATGAAGTCAAGAAGAGTTTCAATGTGCAGCATGGACATGACTTTTGCCAACAACCAACTGCAAGGTATCACCTATCTTTTCTCTAATGTAAGGGTATTATAACATAACATGATACAATTAATATTCTCTTAAACCAAACCATTATCTTTTGATTTTGTTTTCTCTTCTAAGATTCAGACTTAAAATGACTTAATTGTTGCAGTCCACCCACACAAACACAA